ACTCCCGATCAAATAATTGGATAAGATTTGCTTCCTTTGACTTTGTAAATCGAGCAATCAGAGCGTTTGTGGGAGCTTGGAAAGGTGCGACTTGATCAGAGGTAATAACTACATCCTCTACTTCAGCAGCTGATTCTGCATCAATCAATGGTAATGTTCGGTAAAACTTAGCTGTTTCTGTTACAATTCCGGAATTGCGGAATTGGGCCTCCAGCTGTATGAACCAAGTCCTGGGTTTGCCCGCGAGTACTCCGGTGCGTTGATCTGCGGCAATGCGGAGGCTGTCGTTGTCGTAACAGTCGGGACCGTCAGCGTGCCGCCTGTTGTGGTAAACATCGTATCTCACGTTGTTGGTTTTGAATGAGAAGCTAGGATTATCAATTTTCAAAATTAAATTTCAAAGAGAAATAAAATTGAAAGTATAAATGTGACGACAAATAAAGACGTTATAAGTCTCTATTTATCACCAACACAACACAACATCTCTGGGTACTCAGCAATGTGTCGGTGCGAGATCACTGTTCACTTGAATACGGCACTTTGTTTTGATATTACCGAAACACTGAGAAATCAACGATTGGCACTCGGACGCTTCGAATGTTCTAGAAACTTCGCGATGCCGTATTTAATATTTTCGTTGAGGAAAACCACACGGTGAAAATAATGTTTTATCAAGCACGTGAAATAAAATTGCACTTGCACTCGGAGTTGTGTGGCACTGGAAAGCTAGCTGCGCGGGTGTTCACCAAGGATAGGATAAAACCATTGGGAAGCGCGGATAAAACTTTCGAGCAAAAATGCACGCCACGCCGCGAGTCAATTTTCCCGTTCGATTAACGCGAATTTCACCTATTTTGATCACGACGGGGTCACCAATGTAGGAATTAAGGAGTAGTCGGAAAGGTAACAATCCACTAACAAATGCAATTAAACTAATAATTACCGATTTATTATCCGCGTCAAATTCATACAAAGGTGAACAGAAAATAAAATAATATGATCCGATCAAGTGTGCGATACGAGCTGTACTGTTAGACTGAATTATATTCGCACGGAAAGGTGTCAGCGAGGCTGCCGAATATCCTTCCGATTTGATGAATCAGAAAAGACTACGCGTGGCACTGAAGGTGCGAGTGAGACGGCAAATGCCTGCGCTCGTCGTTAGCCAGTGTTAGCGTTTTAGGAGGTAGCGAGGCGCTACAGGGGAGGGGTCTGACATTACATTTTTATAAAATTTACCCCTCCGGAAACGCGCTGATTTTTTATAATTTAAAAATAAAGCATTTCGGGGGAAATACATGATCATGCGGTTTCTCCGGGGGGTTGAAGACAGCCGCATGTATCCGGAGGGATGAAAATTTACGGGGGTGAGGGGGAGGGGTCTGAGACTACATTGTTATAAAATTTACCCCTCCGGAAACATGCGCTGATTTTTTATAATCTAAAAAAAAAATTTCGGGAAAAATACATGATCAAGCGGTTTCTCCGGGGGATTGAACACAGCCCCATATATCCGGAGGGATGAAAATTTACGGGGATGAGGGAGAGGGGTCTGAGACTACATTGTTATAAAATTCACCCCTCCGGAAACATGCGCTGATTTTTTATAATCTAAAAAAAAATTAATTTCGGGGAAAATACATGATCATGCGGATTCTCCGGGGGGTTGAAGACAGCCCCATGTATCCGGAGGGGTGAAAACTTAGGGGAGTGAGAGGGAGGGGTCTGAGACTACATTCTTATACCATTCACCTCTCCGGAAACATGCGTTGATTTTTTATAATAAAGAATATTAATTTTGGGGAAAATACATGAGTATGCGGTTTCTCCGAGGGGTTGAAGATAGCCGCATGTATCTGGAGGAACGAAAATTTAGGGGGTGAGAGAGAGGGGTCTGAGATTACATTTTTATAAAATTTACCCTTCGGGAAACATGCGCAGCTTTTTTTTAATTTTTCGGAAAAAAAATTTCTGAGAAAATGCATGAGACTGGGGTTTTTCTGGGGGGTTGAATACACCCGCATATATCCGCAGGGATGAAAATTTAGGGGGGGGGGTAAGAGAGAGGGGTCTCAGATCACATTTTTATAAAATTTACCACTCCGGAAACATGCGCTGATTTTTTATAATTAAAAAAAGAAAGAATTTCGGGGAAAATACATGATCACGCGGTCCCTCCGGGGTGTTGAAGACAGCCTCATATATCCGGAGGGGTGAAAATTTAGGGGGGTGAGGGGGAGGGATCTGAGATTACATTTTTATAAAATTTACTTCTCCGGAAACATGCGCTGATTTTTTATAATTAAAAAAAATTAATTTCGGGGAAAATACATGATCACGCGGAGTGAAAATTTAGGGCAGTGAGGGGAAGGGGTCGGAAATTACATTTTTATAAAATTCACCCCTCCGGAAACATGCGCTGATTTTTAATAATTAAAAAAAAATTTCGGGGAAAACACATGATCATGCGGTTTCTCCGGGAGTTTGAAGACAGCCGCATGTATCCGGATGCGTGAAAATTTAGGGGGGCGAGGGGGAGGGATCTGAGATTACATTTTTATAAAATTTACCCCTTCGGAAACATGCGGTGATTTTTTATAATTAAAAAAAAAATTAATTTCAGGGAAAAAACATGATCATGCGGTTTCTCCGGGGGGTTGCAGACAGCCCCATGTATCCGGAGGGGTGAAAATTGACGGGGGTGAGGGGGAGGGGCCTGAGACTACATTGATACAAAATATACCCCTTCGGAAACATGCGCTGATTTTTTTTAATTTTTCGAAGAATAAACTTCTGAGAAAATGTATGAGACTGGGGTTTTTCTAGGGCATTGAAGAGCCCGCATATATCCGGAGGGGTGAAAATTGACGGGGGTGAGGGGGAGGGGCCTGAGACTACATTGATACAAAATATACCCCTTCGGAAACATGCGCTGATTTTTTTTAATTTTTCGAAGAATAAACTTCTGAGAAAATGTATGAGACTGGGGTTTTTCTGGGGCATTGAAGAGCCCGCATATATCCGGAGGGATGAAAATTTAGGGGGGTGAGGGAAAGGGGTCTGAGATTACATTGTTATAAAATTCACCCCTCCGGAAACATGCGTTAATTTTTTATAGTAAAAAATTTTTTATAATAAATTTTTTTTATAAAAATAATAAAAAAATTTATAATAATTTATAATAAGATTGTTTATAATCTAAAAAAAAATTAATTTCGGGGCAAAAACATGATCATGCGGTTTCTCCGGAGGGTTGAAGACAGCCACATATATCCGGAGGGGTGAAAATTTACGGGGGTGAAGGGGAGGGGTCTGAGACTACATTGTTATAAAATTCACCCCTCCAGAAACATGCGGCTGTCTTCAACCCCCCGGAGAAACCGCATACTCATGTATTTTCTCCGAAATTCATTGTTTAAAAAATTGTAAAAAATCAGTGCATGTGCTCGGAGGTGTAAATTTTATAAAAATATAATCTCAGACCCCTCCCCCTCGCTCCCTCAATTTTCATCCCTCCGGATACATGCGTCTACTTTCCACCGTGACAGTCATCAGCATTGCATAATTGAAAATATCAACATTTTTTCAGCTAAAATAAAATAACATGCGCCGCAACACCCCTCTATCGACTCGTTCGGCAGACGGCTGGTCTGCGACTGCTGCGGCAGCAATCACAGTGCTGTTAACCCGGCCAACCAGGGCGGTCATTTAACCCTAATGCCATCTCGCGGCATTCGTTAATCGGGGATTGTATTGGCATAATTAAACTTTCACCCATTTCTGCTAATTATTAGAAAATAACACAATAAACTGTATTAATTGAAACAAATCGATCATCTTTCAACTTTTTAACTATTTTCGAATCCGTATTTATGTTATTTTCGGCCTTTTTCACATTAAAATAACATCCTCGCTGCATCCTCGTAATATCCTCGTAACATCCTCGTAACATCCTCGTAACAGCCAGGATACTAAGTTGCCAGGGTACTATAAGAGCTACAATGCTACCGAATTTCAACTTCCTATCTTGATCTTTCAGGCAGTCATCGTGCGTACAACGCTTTTCGTATCAAAATAAAAAATATTGATCATTACTAAACCATCCTTAGTTACATAGCAATATTATAATTTGACTCGATAGATATTATCACCAGGAATATTCTGACGTAAAAAAAATTTCAATTCGGTCACGCAGTTTTAGAAATATTAAGAAAAAAAGATTTTTGAGAAATTGCTGTATCTCGGAAACTACTGCACCAATTAAGCTGAAATTGCAGCCAAAAATGCTGCAACAAAACCACTTGAATGACAAAATTTCATATTTATTGCTTCACCTTTAGTTCTTTTGCTTCCGAATGGCAGCATGGTATTCGTCGGATTTTAAAATTCTCTTATTTTGCCCAAAAATGATGTGGAATGGTATGAAACGGGAAGAATTGACATTTCTAGAAAATATCTGAATTTCCGGGTCTGTTAGTTTGGTTTTTGGATCACCACTTGTTAAAAAATATCACATTAATACCGGAAAATCAATTGATATGGACATGAAATTTTGACTCTTGATTTAAAACATCAAGAGTCAAAAGCTCAAGAGCTTCAAGAGCTTTGATTTTGAAACTTGATTTGGAGAAGTTTCTAATAAATAACCTCCTTATCAGTGTTTCTGGTACACCAGGAGAGATATAAGGCGGAAAATTTTGACCGAGACTTCTTGAAAAAAGGGACGCTGGAACAAAATAAGAGTGTATTTTTATGTATTTCCTGATCCCATTTAATCCTGGTGTTCCATATCTCTAGAAGTAATTAATTTTTTTATACATAGTTCAAAACGAGCTCCAAGCCTTCGATGCATCATGTAGTATTTCGTTGACCATTTCGAAAAAAATGGGCATACGCGGATATTTAATATTTTTCTCTTCTTACATTTACATCTTTCCTTGCACTTTCCAATGCCATATCCTGATATCTAATTAATTTCCATTCGCTTTTCGATGTTCAAGTTCAGTCAGGCGGAATTGCAATGGACTTGGGCAATTATGTTTTCGATGACGATGAGGAAGACCTCGATTCAATTTTGAAGCAGATAGAGTTCGGCGATGATGACGTTGAAGAAATGGAACCCAATTACGAAGCTCCATCATCATCTAAGATCCAAAACAATTAAAAGCATTATGACCCCAGATCTCACTGCAGTTTTGGACACAGCTAAAGTAAGCGATTGAATGGCGGCGCGAGTGTTAGCAGCCAGCCTAATTGCAGCCGGAATGAATTTGGAAGATATCCATACAAGCCGGGAGACTGTTCGACAAAGTTGGATCAAAAATCGTGAGTCTCTAAACGATGCTATACGAGATCATGTAACGAGGAGGCTATGCCATGTCATGACTGTTCACTAGGATGGTAAGCAACTACCAACGCTGGAAGACAAAAATGAAAAAATTGACCGCCTTCCAGTCCTGATATCGGGTTATGGATGGCACCAATTACTTGGTGTCCCCGGAATTGTACGAGGATCTGGGCAGTTGCAAGCGGAAGCTGTGTATAGCTGCTTGAAAGAATGGGACGTTCTTGATGATGCATGCGCCATGGTATTTGATACTACTGCTAGTAATCCCGACCCTATCAGCGGCGCATGCATTATAGTGAATCATAGCAAAATTCAACTTGCTATCCCCATTTTTTCTCGTTATCGTGCGTGCAATAATAAAAAAATTGAAACTAGTTGATATTCCAATTTTTGTGTCCGCTAGAGACCGAACAACGATGTCGAAGTAGAAAAAGAAGAAAATCTATATATCTCCAAAACTTTATATGAATGGGTTTATATATTTTGATTTATTAAGATAGGAGACATCAAGACGAATATTTAAAAAAAAAATATTGAAATCGGTTGAATATTTTTCGAGGTATTCGGGAAAAAGCATAAAAAAACAAATCGCTATTCCGCAAAAACTAATGGACGGATTCAGCTGAACTTTGATGTAGAGTTAGTCCCAAATTATACCAATAAATTGACAAAATTTCAATTTATTTGGGATGATTTTGCCTATTTATTCGTCAATTTTAAGAAAAAGTAACCAACGACTGGATATCACCCGCGCGGAAGAAAAATACATGTCGAAATATATTTTGCATATATCTGAATGGTATGACATATAAAACGGCAAAAAATGTGGAATGCGAAATATATGTGAAATATGTGTGACAAAATATAAATCAGGCAAATATATTTCGCATGTTCTTCAATCATAAAATGACATATTTGAGGCATATATGAGATATATTTTTCCGACATATATGTAAATAGGCAAAAAATGATGTATGTCACATATATGTTACATATATATGACATATATTTTTTGGTAATATGCGCACATATAATCTTCGCATACTGTTCCGTGCGGGCATCACACACAGACATGGTCCTCAAACTTCGTATTTTTTCGTTTCAGACTATTCTGCATCGTTTCCAAGCAAAATTTATGAATCGAAAAATCGATCGAATGTAATGCTTCTATTCGGAAGCAAAAAACTACGATCGATTGATGAACAATCGTAATAATCACATAAATCAGGGGTTAATTTTTTTAACGTAAATGTGACGTGTTCATATTTGAGCATAAGATATTTCCACAGATTTGAAGTGTAACCGAGTAATGTTTGTCATGAAATAGAACATTAAGAAGGAAAAAGTTAAGATTTTTTAAGTGTGATATCCTAAAATCGACGCATTATCGCTTATAAAAATTATTCTAGTGTATGGAATGGATAAAGTACGGTATTAATTTGAAGATCTCGATGAGTTCTTTGAATTAACACATAATACTTTCCCGCTGGTTGAGTTCAAAGCCTCGATTTTTGTAAAAAAAAACTATAATTTTTGAAGTGTGACATGAGGTAAAAAATAGAAACAATCTGCCATAATTTGATGAAAATTCGATCAAATCAGATTTTTTATACACCATGTTAAACAGTGAATACTCCTCAAAATGATATATGAACCATTTACTTGTACCCGAGTATCAACAAGCATTGAATTCCAACAATTGATTCTCTAAATAATACTTCAGAAGTTGAATTCTACTCATGATTAAAATCTCATTCAGTGAGCATAGGAATTAGCACATACGCAAGTAATTCATACAAAAATTGAACAGCTAATAAATTGGGACATTATTTTCATCAGTCACATTGCTTTTTGCAATTTTTTTATTCNAACACCTAAGAAATTGGGATATATTATTTCCATCAGTCACATTGCATTTTGCAATTTTTTTTTATTTAAAGCATTTGAACCTCATGGGTCATTTCGCTATATGAAAAAAAAAATGAAATAAATAGCAAAAAGCATGCGAATTATTACATACAATTATGGGTACATCTTCAATGTCGATGCTTATACATAGTGGTTTTCATCATTTTTACATATATACAGGTACTTACTAAATATTACATTTCAAAGAAATCAGAAAGGAGCCAATAAGTAGCAAGACTGCTTTTTGAAATGGAAATGATTATGAACAATCAATTGAACAAAGAAATATTGATTGTGAAATTCCTTAGATTTTCTCAACAATTTCCCGGAAATTTCGAAGTTTAAAAAACATGCACAAGCATTTCGGGATTTTGTGGAGAATTTGAAAAAATTGCATCGTCGAATAAAATTGTGAAAAAGATCATGAATGAGGAGAAGATACTTCGAATTATAAAAAAAGCATCAGAATCAATCATGTAATTTTTCCAACAAAATTATCGATTGCTTTTGTGAAGAAATAAACCGGAATCAAGAGGGTAGCGAAGACTAAAAAATTCGGCGTTTTGAAAAATTTAATAATTATTGTTTTGCACTCTGAATGGAACTTCGATTATGATTATAGTTAGAAGCTCATTCAGTGAATACAGAGTTATAGTGAATTACTTATTGCAATTGAAGAGGTATTGAACCGTGAAGCATTGTTTCCATTAATCTTCACTTTCGGTATAATAAGACGATGATGAATCATTAATTTGTGAAAAACTCACAAGGAAAAACACGAGAAAAGGCATTATAAAAGGGCATCAACATCGCGGCCGCTTGCGGCCGCGGCGGCGCTAGTTTTAGAAAAACCCAAACGATAACCCACTCTTTCATAAAACACCCCTCTTTGCAAAATCGGCCTCTTACCAAAACCCCCCTCTTTACAAGCCCCCCCCAGATATCGCTACCCTTCTTTTTGCAATATTCCCCCTCAAAAATGGAAAAAAAAATTCTAGATTTAAAAATTTTTTTTTCCTGAAATTAAGTATATTTTGGCTTAAAATTAATCTCAATTGTGATCATTAATTAGAAACGATTTTTTTCTAAAATTTAGAAAAAAGTTTCCAGATTTTAGAACCCTGACCAGGGGGGTGACACTCAACGATATTCCATATAGAGAGCATTGACGCGCTTCGGTCGTCGAGTGTACTAATCCGTGCTGTGTCGCCTCCATCGGCTGACCGGTGTTTACGTAGTCCACTGTAACCTCCGAACGTGTACGAAAATGAAGTGAATGAAAATCAGTCGAATAAAATGGTTTGATTTATTTGATAAATATGTTAAACGGGTAAGCGTGGAGTGAGTGAGGATCGAGTGATTAACAATAAGGCTGCAACTCATTAATTCCATAAATAATTACGTTATCGACATTCTGAAATGCTGAATTGTAAAGTGTTTGGATGTACAGTTGGATACGCTTCCAACCCGGATAAGGGGCCCTTCTTAACAGCACCGAAAACCCTTCGAGAACTAGAAGCGTGGAGAAAAGCTACAAAATTACCACAACTCAAAAGTGGTGATCCCATATGTCACAATATTTTCTACCAGGTGAAGTATTAACGCACAAAGTGATCAATGGTTCAAACGGTATTATCATGAAAGAGCCGTATAAACGAGTACGGCGAAAACCAGGGTCTATTCCTTCCCAGTTTCCATGGACAATCGATGTTATTCCGATCTACAATTGGTATGACTGATAGAAAGAAAGAAATTCTAACGAAACTCGATAAATTGGTTGAAAATAATGACTAGAGCGTGGAGGACATTATTGACCATGACTACTCTAAGTCTGATGTAATCCAATATATTCTGTATTGTTTAACATCTGACCTGGTTGAACGTTTTCTAAACTCCGAACATTGCATCTTCTGCAAAAATGCATTCCTGAATCCCACTGATGGCCCTACTCTTCCAGAGGCTGTTTTAACGCAATGCACGCCTGATTCTGTTCTCTATCATCCCAACTCACATTCCCGTGTAGGAATTTGACCGGGGATTGAGCCGCAACTCGGATACTTAGAACTCAGCCTCGGCTTGACGCTGTAGGGTGGCCAGGCCAATTGCTGGATGGTTAAAGGAAATTGGGGTTTCGTGGTAGGATCTAAAATAAAAGAATCACCTAAATGGCAATATGATGGCTTCCATACCTCCAAGAACGTTTTAATTAGCAGAAAAAAAATTGTTTAAAGTGAAAGTAACAAAACAAAGAATAATTAAATTGAGAAATAGTTGAATGTAGCCGAAACCCCCCATTTCTGGATGACTGGGTGATATTTTTTTAAATTTATTAAATATTGATCAATAGAAGAAAATAATTGATCACGTGATTATACACAAAGGATATTATGTAGAGGTGAAATAATTAATACAATTTTCGTTTTATTTGTGGAATATTCAATGCAAGTTAAAAACGTCCAGACACTAACCCCCGTCCAGAAATTGACCTCACACGAGTTCACGGCGCGTCACGCCGCTCCATACCGGCTTGGAGCGCAACCCCAAGACGGCACAACCCGGTACCTGAGGTTGAGCGGTGGCTCAATGCTCGAAACGGTAACGTAACATTTTCGTATGGGGGTTAAAAATGCCTATTACCTTCGCCCTTCTTCCCCTTCTTCTAGTTAAACTCAAAAATGCAAAAATCTATGGGCGCCAGGTAATTTTTATCCGGAATTACCAAACCGGAAGAATCTACAAAATCAATTCTAATTAATTCAAAAACCTCAAAAATTGACTCAGACAGGGAGAAAACTAGATTTCTGGGGAAACGTAACGGTCCTTGGTTCGCTCAGTGTGCTAGGTTGTGGAGAGAGGGGTGGATTTCAGGTGAAGACGGGTATTGGGTGGTCGAAACTACCAAAAAAAGAGAAGAAATCGACATCGTCCTTACGTGTTTCACTATTGAAATTTGAAAAATTATTAATGGACATGGTTTTCTCTTCGCATTGATCTTACCAAAAAAAAAAGACTCATAACAATACTGATTAAATAGCAACAAAAAAAAAATTAAGTTGGCAACGATCATTTGAATTTTACTATGTAATCCAAAATAATATTTTGTCGATTAACTCGACCACAAGTGAGGACATCCAATCCCTCATACCATAATATATAAGAAAAATGATCGATTAATCCCGAAATACTCGAGAATGTCGAGATATGAAGGGAAAGGTATGCGAATCCCCGTGAAAGTGAGAGAGAGAAAAATCTAAACCCAGTGATATACGTACAACGTACTGCGGGAAACTAAAAACTCCCTAAAACTAAACTCGCCGTAGCAAAAAATCGGTAGAGTCAATTTTCAAAAACCCATAGCCAACTTGCTCGGGAAGGTCTAGCGAAGCCCATGAAACCAAATTTATAATTTTGGGATCATTGGGAGCCACTCCGGATTAGTTTACATCCGGAGGGAAATTTAAACGAAGGAACACTTACGGGAAGCGAAAGCCACCACTCGTTGGCGCGTCAGCGGGGTGCCGCGAGGGGAAAAACTACGCAGTTTATAGGTAGGGGAAACAGAGATACTCCTCGCCATAGGAGCGAGGGAGAAGGAAATAGCCCACGTCGAAAATCGTCAGATTTCGACTGGGAAAAGACGCAGGAATTCCACTACTGAACAAACACACTCGCTGAACCCGAAAATCATCTCAAAAGATGATTGGGATAAACCGGAAGGAGCAAGAACTCGGTACCGAACCGATTTGGGTGGAATATCCGATCCAAAAATCGGAGGGACCCGCGGATAAAAATCCGGGATAAGGGATAATGCCAAAAAAACGCCGAATTCGAACCACAGAATATGACTTGTGACGTAATTTCCTGAGGTTCACGGAACCCTCGATCCACTACGTAGCCCTCCGACGTACGAAAATCCTGAAATAACAAATAAGTCGAGCGCCAGGTCGTTATTACCAGAACGACCACTGGAATGAAACGAATAGCCAAAAACAAAATTTCCAGAATAATCCCAAGCTTCGAAACGGTCTCCTGCTAACTCCGACCGAAGAACGGCGTGAAGGTCACTGGTGAAGCTTAGATTAAAGTATGACTAGGTATTGACCAAATAAATAAAGTTAACTCAAGATTGCGGGGGAAAATCACAATATT